ACACACAAAACACGGAACAGAGTCTGACATTACTCCCCACTTCCAGGGGGGGGGGTGCCCTGGAGGCTGGTGCAGGACTGGGACACGGGGATATCGTCTTTAGAGGCCCTCCGTAGGCCTAACTCGGGAACAGTGGCCCTCCCTGGGCTTGACTTGGGGACTGGAGCCCTCCTTGGGCGCTACATGGGAACTGGAGCCATTTCTGTGCTACACTCGGGGACTGGAGCCTTCTCTGGGCTAAACTCGGGGACTGGAGCCCTCACTGGGCTACACTCGGGGACAGGGACACTCACTGGGCTACACTCGGGGACAGGAGCCCTCACTGGGCTAAACTCGGGGACAGGAGCCCTCCGTGGGCTAAACTCGGGAACAGGAGCCCTCTTTGGGCTGGATTCGGGGGCTGGAGCCCACACTGGAGCGAGCTCTGGGGCTGGAGCCCCCACTGGAGCGAGCTCTGGGGCTGGAGCCGACACTGGAGCGAGCTCTGGGGCAAGGCGCACTCGGGCGAGGAAGAGGGCCCTGAGCCATCCATTTCTCCTCTTCCTCCTTTTCTGATTATGGGTGAATAGGGCGGCCGGCGGGCTTGGGTCAGCGGGCTTGAGAATGCCGCGGCCAGCGGTCTAGACATCGGCGCGACCGACGGGCTTGACTTCGGAACGGCTGGCCGGATGGAGAGAGCCGCCACCGGTGGGCTTGACTGAGGAACGGCCAGCGGGCTTGGGAATACTGCAGCCGGCGGGCTTGACATCGGAGCTGCCGGCGGGCTGGAGAGAGCTGCGGCTGGTGGGCTGATTCTGGATCGGGGCTGGACGCTCTCCAGACACCGGAGGATCCCTTCCCTCCAGCTCAGTCCTGTGGTGTCTGAGAGGTCCACGGGGTGATAGCAATTGGCCCCGATCCTGAACAGAAAGTTGAGTGTGGCGCCATCTAAAGCCGTCGCCGCGGCAAGCCCGCAGAACTCCCAGGCATACTCGACGAAGGGGAGATCCTTATGGGCTATGGCGATGAATCAAGCGGCGATTTCCATGATGCGGGTAGAAACAAACGGGAAAACAAAAACACTTTCTAAAACGTAAAAACACTGAGAGAAGAGGTGCCGCTCACTGCTTTGGTCCGGTATTCTGTCACAGTGTGCCAACTGTGAAGGAGCGAGGAGACGAAGGAGATTCCAGAATTATCACAGACTTTATTTACAACAGGGAAAACCACACGTAGGACACGGGGATCGACGTTCAATACCGGACGGGAAACGAGGGGCAGAACAGACACAAAACATGGAACAGAGTCTGACACAGATGATGTATAAATCTCAATTTAAAAAAATTGACCCTTATGACTGGTTTTGTGCTCCAGGGTCACATGTTTCTGGAAAAAAATGCCCACCCTACATTTTAATAAAGGTTTAAAGGGGTGGTTCACTGTTTTTTTTCTAGGCTTGATTGTGTTTATGGGGTGCAGTCTAACGTGTTAATGCTTCGTTTTAAAAAAAACACATTATTTTTCACATAATTTACCTTATGCAGAACCTGTACAAGCACGGCTTTTAATGGTAGGCCTATGTTTTTTGTTTGTTGTTGTCTCATACTTTTAGATACACTGGTATTTGTAAATGCTACTGCTTATGCTAGTAGCATGCTTATGCAACCCTCTTCCAACTTTTTTGGAATAGGGTTGTACAAGGGAAAGTGCACTTTTGACAGATACAGGGATGCAAACTTACCATGGTTAAAAAACGGTGACAAAAATATCCATATTTATAACTTAATAAATCTTAATCTCTAGCTTCCGTTAACTGTCGTACGCACGTTCACGAGAGAATGGTGCCCAGCGGATGACGTAAGGACATAGGCAAACGCGGTGACTAACGCGGAAGTGACGAACGTGGAAGCGCAGAGGAGAGAGCAAAACAAAACACCGGTCACGAATTAGAAGTACAAAACGAGGATTTGTAAAGAAAAATGTCGGAGGATTTCAATATAAGCCAAGAGGACACTGGTTTTCCTTTGCTGTAAACAAAATTTGTTTCTCGCGAGACTGGCATATTCTCACCGGAGTTTACGCTACGACTATACGTCATCCGCTGGACACCACTTTCTCGTTATTGCGCGTACGACAGTTAGCGGAAGTTAGAGGTTAAGGTTTATAAAGTTGTAAATATGGATATTTTTCTTACGCATCGCTTCGCTTCGGGAGGCCTTTATTAACCCCCCGGAGCCGTGTGGACTTCTTTTATAATGGATTGTTTCAATTTTTTGGACTTCAAATTTTGGGCTACCATCCACTCCCATTATAAAGCTTGGAAGAGCCAGGATGTTTTTTAATATAACTCCGATTGTATTCAGCTGAAAGACAGTCAGTCATCTAGGATTTGCTTGAGGGTAAGTAAATCATGGGGTAATTTTCATTTTTGGGTGAACTAACCCTTTAATGCACATCTCTATTTGACATCGGCTTGTCAGATGTTTCATTCCGTCCATTGCTACAGTTATCACTGTCAATCATAGCAATGATTCGCGGCACAATTTAGCGAATTCACTAGCGACATTTTTTACACTCACGTTTGTCATTCCTGAAACAGTATACGTGGACGTTTGGCCCTCTTAGACAAACAAAACTTTTCTTCAAACTGTGAATAAAGTATGTAGAGAAAACACTCTGTATGTATAGAGTGCAAAGGGTGCTTCCCTTATACCGCAACTGACAGAGCTTATACTTACGTGAAAACTCCTGATATAATCAATAACTAACTGCACAATGAATATCTAATTTACACCGTGAAGGCTTTCTTTTTATCTTGTTATAATAGGAAGATCTGGGAGCGTGTAGAACTCCGTAAACTTGCGAAAACAAAAATTAGTTCAGAGCCTATGGTTCAGAGCGGATTCTGACTAACCTGCAGTAAACACCTCTGATTGGCCATTGCGTTCAACAGAGATGCCTGTGATTGGCTACAATACTCAACGCTGCAAAACCCGTTGTAAATAGAAACTTTGGGATGGTACTTTAAAAAAGCCCCCCCCCCCCCAAAACACTTTCTCATCGGATCTACACGAATCTCGTAGGTCACCTATTTTGATCTCAAAAAGGTGAATTTTCACAGAAAGGTGAGGAGTTTGCATCTATGCATATACAAAGATGAACTAAACAGATTAGATTAATTAGATGAAAGATTAGATAAATGATCCTGGAATTCAGAATCAGAATCAGAATGAGCTTTATTGCCAGGTATGTTTACACATGTGTACTTCCGAATGTCCAGCAATTCGTCTCTGGTGAAACTGATTGCAGGGATATAACTAAAGACAGGACAAACTAACAAAAACATAAAAACAACTGCGGAGCATGCCACGGAGGCAGCCATCAGCGTCGGCGCCATCTTGCGAATTTCACAAATTAGTAAAAATATTCCATTATATCTCTCAGTTACTACAAAACAAAATTGCACATAGCAATTTTTTACACATTAAAAATGTTTTAAATAGTGTTTTCTTCATCCCTCTTATGTGTGTGTCCCTCTTAATCAAAACAAGGACTTTGATCTGTCATCTTCTAGAACAAATGTGTGCATAATTACAGGTGTACACACAAAAACAGGTAAGACTCCAATGGGAAATTATATGAATATTCTTGGTTTTGGTTTCTGAGCAGCTCATTTCTCCTTGGACTCAAGGCATTCACTGCGTCCCAATGTTCTATCCATCCTAAATAGTATGTGAGATTAAAATAAGTCCCCGGATGGTCTACTATTTCAGGTCGATTTGTGTGGGATCCGTGCACACAGGCTAATATTACCCACAAACCATTGCGCTTTGACGAATGATTCGGTTGAGATCTGTTTTTATACAGTCTATCAGGGGCGCGGGAAGATGTTTTCGGTTGGGGGTGCTGTGTGTGTCCGTGTTGGAGGGGGGGGGGCGCTAGCGTCACGTGTTCATGAGGATTAGGCTAATCATCCCATATAGAAAACATCACAAGTTAAATTAATCATGTTTATAAAGATAAACATGGGTTTATTATAGCCCACTTACAATTTACATTTCAGAGATCATTACAAAATTATTAAATGCTAAAACTGAATAAATTTAAATGAACAAACTTGGCGTTGCATTTGCAACCATGTGAAAACAGGGGGTGCTGCAGCCCCCTCAGCACCCCTACTTCCCGCGTCCCTGCAGTCTATGGTTGAGATCTACAAACATGAATAAAAAGCGTTAAAAAAAAACTACAAACATGGTGGATGTGCGCGACCGACGGTTAAACAGAGAGGTTTAGATAAAGGGGTTTGAGTTACTAATAATCAACATTTAACCTGGTAAAAAAGTATTTATTTAATGTTATCTGTGTTATATTTCATCTGCAACAGCAATGTAAACTTTTATAAACATCCGTTTGGTCGTTACTTTTAAACGCATCATTATGCAGAAAATATGAGCAG